ACCGTGGACGAAGCGGAGTCCAGCCCGGGGTCGTCACATGTGGTTGCCGCTCCTTCGTCGAATCCGCCGGGCGCGCTGTTCTCGACGTTTTCTTTGTGTGTGTGTGTGTGTGTGTGTATATGTGTGTGCGTGTGTTTGTGTGTATATATACTGTATATATAAATTGCCTTGCTACATGTACTGCGTTAGGCTAACCAAGACTTGTCATTTGCACTTACATATTGTTGCTCTTTTGTTAGTTTTGATTGCTTCTATTGTCCTCATTTGTAAGTCGCTTTGGATAAAAGCGTCTGCTAAATGACTAAATGTAAATTTAAATGTTATCAAACATTAAAGATTTCATCTTTAAGCCCCATTACCGAAACGTGTAATACCGCTTAAGGTTTTAAATTCATAGCCATACAGTAAGAGTTCAAATTTTAATGCTTCAAACTGAAAACTGCCACAGGCAAAGTCATAAGATGACCTACATAAAGATGACATGTTGTTCTGCAAAGTTTTAAAGTGTGGATGAATGATCTGGTACAAGACATATGTAAGAACTATAACTATAATGTTCAAATAATCATTCTAATTTTATGAGAATAGCCAAGTCCACACTACAACTATAATGATAATGACACAGAGGAACAATATTGCTAGAATCACTTTCAGAAAGTGATTATTTTTTTCCAGCTGATGAACGAAAAAAAAAATATTGGCAGTCAATCAGAATGGATTCTACAGAGAACTACCTTTACCTTTAAAGAACTTGCAAAAAGTAACTGCAGCACCTGCTTAAATAATAAACAGAATTTAATTATCCATTGTTGTGGACGTTAGCCTTTTATAGTTATTATGGTATTTTTTACAATTATTGTTGGTGGTGTGAACAGGGCTTAATATTTAAAGGTATGTTCACACCAAGACAAATATTCAGTGCAAAATCCGGTGCGTTAAAGATTTTAATTCTAATCTCTATTCCATTGCGCTGTGGAGAAAACTGGCCAAACAATCAGATTAATGCTTTTGGTCACATGTCCAGAGCCTCTGCTGTTACACCACCACAGTGAATACAAAAATCTGCACTGCTGATTGAAAACATCACTTGCTAAAAGTGGACTGAATTTTTGCACCAAACATTCGTTATTGGTGTAAACCAGGGTTCCTCAATTAGTCTTCACCGAAGGCCGAATTCTGCCAACAATACCAAGCCAAGGGCCACTGACCTATATATATATATATATATATATATATATATATAATTGTTGTTATTATTATTACAATTATTATATTATTAAAGGGGTCTTCTGATGCTCTTTCATTTTTTACTTTCTATCATATGACCCCTTTAATAATTAAAATTGTTAAAATAATCACAAGATGGTCACAAGATGAATATTCAGATTTTTTCCCCAGTAGTCTGTTTTATTCAAACAATTATGAACATTTTTGCATTTAGATACAGAAGAACTTTGCCTGTTGAATATTAAAAACAAATGAACAAACAAAAAAATCTGGATCTCCATGTCTGCCATGCAAATCCTGTTCCTGCTCATTCCCAGACTGGATCTCTTCTCTCCACTTTCCCTGATTGCAGATTCAATTATTAGATTTGTCAGTATCAGTGGCGTAGCAGCCGCAGGGGACGGGGGGGACACATCCCCCGCACTGTTAGAAACAGGTGATTCTGTCCCCCGCACTTTTTTGACCCACCGCCAATATTTCCGCCCGTGTTCTCTGATTTGTTACTAAGATTTGAGTGAACCAACATTCAGCCAATCACAAGGCGAATCATCTCTTGGGCGCGTCTGCCATGAGCTTCAAATCTCCTGCTGCTCTCGCAATTTATTTCGTTCATTCACTTCTTTGCTCTTATAAAAGCGTCTGCTAAATGAGACTGATTATTGGGTTCCGCTGCCTTTTGTCGCTTCGTGCTGCTCGTATCATATTTTAGTACTTTAATTCATGTCCTAAATTTTAACTGGTCTGTAGGAAAGGCAGGCTGTCGCGTCACTGACAGAGAGAGGGGAGGACAGTTGCTCGACCTCTCCAGAATGTATACAGGTGAGATGTCTGAAAAAAGAGGACTTATTTTAAGGCAGTGTTTTCTTAATTGGGACTACTTAAAAACCATGTCCACACTAAATTGTTTGTAGTTCCTGTACCCGTTAAGCTTTAAACACATTTGTTGTCTTTTCTGAAAGACACTTTTTTGTCCAACTGTTAAGAATTAAGATAAAATTATTGTTCAAGTGTAGTGTAACTGAAATATTGTGCATAAAATATCTTTATTTCATAAAAATAACGTAGGCCTATAGATGGCCACAGTGGTCTCAAAGTCCCAAGTCCTGCAGTTATTTTTCAAATTTGAGTATGATATCACAAAAATAGGTTAATAAATTATTTTTAGAATTTATTATATGAACATGAATGTACTTACTTTGTACATTATATACATAATTTGTTTGCCTTTGAGGGTCACATCACCTGACAGCTGTAGCTTTCTGATGCTGCGTTTGAATTTTCATGCCACATTATTTGAAATTAGCAGGGGCCAAACTTTTGCTCTCACGGGCCGCCTATTGAGGAACCCTGGTGTAAACAGACCTTAATAAACTGCAAAAAAAATTACTTTGAAAATGTTCTCTGATACATTTCTAGTAAATTTCACAGATAAGTAAGTAACACATTTACTGTAATTAAACAATAATTAGGAAGTAAAAAGACTGAAAAAGTATTTTTTTTTGTAAAACTCTAATAATCTTTATTTACAACTTTCAAAAATCCTTTACGGTGTACAGTTAATAATGTAATTTTAGATAGAAACTGGTCACAATAACAAGGTGTTTTGGTGTACATTCTAGTGTTCATGAATGCTTGTGGTTAAATACCTGGGACGCTATGTATTTCTCCATAGTGTGCTCCATCCTGGGCTGACTGATCATGGGACCACTGGACACACTCTCCTCCGGCGGTATCTCACTCAGTAAGGGCTTCCCTTTGAAATATTTCACCACACACACCACCTATCACAAGAGCACCCGTAGGGAAAACAAAAGGAAAGGGGGAAGTTTTACACCTCTGAAAGGCTTTTTGTAGCACACATACACATGTATAGCTTCTCAGGTTGTAAATTATGATTTATGTAAGTCTTGAAAGGGCAAAGATGCTCGCATGACTTGTTGCCCAAAGTAAAAAGGCTCTGTGCTCTTTTGGGAAGAGGAAACATGCAAGTTCATGTCCTGGAGGAGATTCATCCATTATCGGACCAAAATGAATTCTTTCAATGAGACACTACAGGCAATGCTCTGCCTCTGCAAGACTGCAGCATAACGCAAGGGAGGGTTTCAGCAGAGGACATCTCAGGGCGTTCTCCACTCATGGAGCCCTAAGTTGAACTAAACAGATGGAGGAATTAATTTGTTAATCAGATGGAGGAAATGTGTGCTGCCCTTACCATTTTATAACCGTATGCAGCAGGGCTCAACAATAAAGATGATGCTGGGCCACTCTGAGAAGTTCTGTCGCTCATGTCAGAGTGCTGCGTTGTCATTGTCTTTTGCTTGTTTATTATCTATGTGTTTTTATGCTTAATAAATTAAATAATTCTTTTGTTATTTTTCTGATGTACTGAACACTGTTGTCCAATAGTGCTTATGTCATGTCCATTTGGCTAATATAGCTGTGGTTTTATCACAACAGAAAGAATGACTGGTAACACTTTAATAGAAGCCTTTACATATAATGCATTATAAATATGGTTTTAAAGCATTAATTATGCTTTGTAATGCACCTTGTAATGTGCCTAATTATAACCACAGTTAGAAAGTATAATGCATTAAACACACAAAAAAACAAACCTTCAAATATTATAATGCATTTGAACTTTGGTTACAATTATTTATGAAAAATAAATTGGATTACAACATACAGTACATTATGAATGCATTATACATACAGGCATTCAGTAAACTGTTACTGAATGACTTGTGATAGACTCAGAAGTATCAGTTGTAGTATCAGTTGAAAATGATATCAAAAATGCTTTGTACCACATGCACTGTTTTCCAGAAAAGGTGATTAGGAATTTATAGCCGTCATGCCGCTAAACTGTAGCTTTTTGTCAAGAAAACGTACTGTTTAATGAAATAATCAATTACGCAACGACTCTTACTGCAGGTTACATCAAAATGTGGTGGAGAGAAGTTTTATAATTGAGTCATTGAATCATTCACTAAAGCAATTTATTAAAAACACTGATTAATTCAGGAACAAAGTAACCAAGCGCATTCAAAATCTCATACTTCTCTACTTTATATTATGCAAAAAACAGTATGTGAGCCAAGTAGTATGTCCGAATTGACAGTATTCACAAAACAGTAGGCAGTAATAAGTACTCGGATGACTTACTACTTCCAGCAAGACTCTTAAGTGCACATCCGATGTACACTTTACCATACCATGAGGCCACTGAAGAGGATTTGTGAATGACAGTAAAGTGACGGAGTCGACTCTCATAGGTCAAATGACAATGACAACATGGCGAATGTAGTATTATACTATATATTACATTCTTTTTAACACCAAGTAATTGCTTATTCAAATAAAGGACCTACTCATAGACTATGTGATTTCAGACATAGCCACTGTCTTTTAGAGTCATTGAATCGTTTATTCAAATTTGAAAACTAATTGATTAAAGGGTTCACCCAAAAATATAAATTAACCCATAATTTACTCACCCTCAAGGCATCCTAGGTATATACAGTATGACTTTCTTCTTTCACACAAATCCATTCGGAGTTATATAAAAAAATGTCCTGGCTCTTCTAAGCTTTATAATGGCAGTGAATGGGTGTTATTTTCAACAGTCCAAAAGAAGTCCAATGAAGCGCATCCATCCATAATAAAAAAGTGTTACACATGGCTCCAGGGGGTGAATAAAGGCCTCCTGTAGAAAATCGATGCGTTTTCGTAAGAAAAATATGCATATTTAAAACATTATAAACAGTAATCTCTAGCTTGCGTTAACTGTTGTACGCGCGTTCACAATAGAACGCTGTTCAGGTGGATGACGTAGGACATCGGCGTTGCGTTAGGCCCAGTGAGAATATGCAGGTCTCGTGACAAACCAACGTTTGTTCACAGGAGCAAAGGAAGCAAAGCTTCCTTACTTTAGCAAAGGAAAACCAGTCTCCTCTTGTCTTATATCGGAATCCTCTGACATTTTGACGTCTTACAACATCCGCCCGGAAAGGTGTTCTATTGTGAACGCACGTACGACAGTTAACGCAAGCTAGAGATTACTGTTTATAATGTTTTTCTTACAAAGATTTCTTGCATTGATTCTACAGGATAATTTTGGGACATATATGACCTCCTTTATCATGTGTATAAGTATCTTGGAGAAAGCCCAGGAGAAACCAAGGCAGAACACAGCATCATCAGTTACCACTCTTTGACTTTGTTTTGGAATGCTCAAATTAAGTTACTGTGCTCTGCATTTGTTTAGACATTCGTCAATATTACTGTGCCAGCCTGGAGTTATACGGTATTCTGCCTTTGTTTTACTGTACATTAAAGTCTGCCACATTTAAATTACGGTGTAACTTGTGTACTTTCATACATCTGTTGGCAATTATTTTTAGACAAATGCAGATGCCAGCTGTCAGTCTTGTGCTGCCCACTTCTGCACGTGTGAGGAGTCGAATGCCATGACAGCGTATAACATAAAATCAGTAACTGTTCACAATTAAATCAGTTTCCTACCTTTTCTTGTAACTCGATATTGCAATGAACGTCATCGGACTAGATTTTATACAGATGTTACTATAATGATTCTGTAAATGGTGATCAGCACCCAAATATTGCATATTATGTGGAAGTTACTGCCTTTTGCCTTGGCGTGATATCTCACTTTTTGCAGACAGTGCAAAGGCAGAGTACCTACAACAACTTCAAAATAATGGTAAAAATAAAGTTTGAGCTAATTTTCATTAAAACATCTAATTGCCAGATTTCCAGTGTCCTGCCCATAATTAATTTTTCTGGACAAATAAAAATCTTTCAAGCCATTTTTCTAAGTTTCACAGTCTAGCGAGTTTCACACTCTGGAGCAGAGCAGCAGTCCACCTGTCACTCAAATGGCCACACCCTTAATTATGCAGAACTAAGGTTTAATATAATTTAAACGGATGCGTTATAAAAAAATTCACCCCCCTCACAGTTGTCATGAAGTGCAAAATTACCTATATAGACCAAAACCACTTTTTGTACCAGGCTGTAAACATATTTTTTTCTGCTGTAAATTTGGGCATTTTAACATGGCAGGTCTATGGGACTGACTCCCTTTTGGAGCCAGCCTCTAGCAGTCAGTCGATTAATTGCTGCTTTAGTCACTTCCGTGTTGGTTTCAAGCCAGAGACCGGGAGGTTGCCGCTAGCGCACACTATGTGGTGATGACGTAGAAGGACTACGTGCCTGTGTAATGAGAACCACTATGGATGATAAGTTCGCTCTGCCTTCTTGTTATTATTTTGTCTTTACTTTTATTTGTAACGCCAAGAAAGAGTTAATCTCCCATGTATGAGAGGAGCGCGTTGCCGTGTACCAGCCATTAAATGTGTGGGACACCAGCTCTTCATTTTCGATCTCTTTCATTTCATGGATTTAATGAGTTATCCGAGTCAAAGCGTTACAATTGGCGCCCGAACAACTGAAGCTGGATCCTTCATCTATGTGGAATCTATGGCGATGAAACCCTAAAACTACGGGAGTTGGGGAGCTGTGAGAGTGTTCAATCAGCATCGTGGAAGCTGGTGAGATTAGCTTGCTAACGCTGGATGCCATGTGTGCGAGGAACGGCTGTATTTCTGTGTGAGTGGATGATGCAACTTTTTTTTGATGTGACGAGGATAGTGGATTAATTTGAAACATTTAGACTTTGTGCTTCATCGAACATTTTGATATTGATCACAAGCTGATGGTGACGGGTTTTTTTTATGAAATATTTTGATTTGGAACGAAGGATTCTTTTGCTTTTTGAAGGAGTGATCTAATTGCAAATTTTTCCCGTCCTGTCTCCCAAGTGCAGACTGACATTTTGTTCATAACCTTCCTGGGATATTTCAGCATGGATTTTTGTGTGTGTGTGCGTTGAACTTGACTGCACAAGCGAACAGCAAAGATTTTTCTTTTCGAAGATTTTTCTTTTCAAAGACTATTCGTGGTTCATTTTTGTGCATTGGAACTGCGTTTTGAACATTTTGAGGAAGCAATACACCTGTTGGAACAGTTTTTTTCTTCATCGTGAACTGAATTTACTTATGCTGGACTGAAGAGTAGTTTCTAACTCTTGACATATTTGCATGGTCAAGTAATTTAAAAACATTTCATCCAATTTAAAGCAACATTCTCTTGCTCTGGGTCTGTTGAGGTAAAAACACAAAGCTCACATAAAAGAGACAGTGAAAAGGTGTGTGGTTTTACTACTATTACTAACTCAAAGGGATTGTTGATGTGAGATTTTTGAATTTTGTTGAAGATTTTATTGATGGTGTGTGCATTTTAATAGCAGGTTGTATTTTTCTGGGTTACATTTAGAATTTTTACAATTGCTATATTGCTGTTTAAGTAAATGCACATTTACTGTGATGGTTTCTCACCCAGACCTTAACACTGACTTGACCTACACATTACCAGATTCTGCCCCCAGACAGAGACAAAAGTTACCACAGTGAGTGAGCCTGGAGACTCAAGTGGAACTCCTACAAGCTGAAGTATCTGTGTTGCAACAGTGCCTCAATGATTCTCTCCAGTTGCAGCAGAGTATATTAAGATGTTTTGGTCCTCCTGATGTCGACACCCCTGCAGCGCCACATGCGCAGCTACCTCCTACGGCCAGCTCTACACCACACAGCCGTATTCCTCTAGGCCAAGTGCCAATGTTTCCCATAGAAACGTGACTTTCTCACCACAGCCCAATTATTCTGATGTGAGTAATACTAGCAGAATCCTTGCATCTGTA